CGCACTCAGCCGACTTGTGCCCTTCACTGCCGCAGCGGAAGCAGAGACGCCCGTTCTCCGCTTCCACTGGGCATAGGGCGCGAGTGTGGCCCAGCATCATGCACTTGTAGCATCTGAGTGGCTGGGCCTCCACTGCTTTGACGGTGGCCATCGTCCATCCGATGGCCACTCGTCCTGCCTTTACGATTGCCTTAGCGGCAATCGCTGGGCACTTGACCAGGGCGGAGCCGCCGCCCCAGAAGCTCGGCCTGATGTTACCTACTCTTAGGGAGCTGGGGGGACATCCGCCGACCGATGCCAATTGGGCCGCCACTTCCTCAGTGGTCACCGTGTCATCTAGACCGGTGATCCTGAGGACGGCCATTTTGGTTGGGCGGGTGATGTCCGCCCAGCTCCCTACTGCCTCCACCAGGGCGGCGGCGAGACGGTCAGCGGTTTCTTCGGGGGTGGTCCCCCCGACCTCCATCAGTTTGGAGCCGGTCATGCTCGTTCGGATCTTGACCGACTCCAAACCGAATTCCCTCAGGGATATCGAGGACCTGGCCTTTGCCAGGACCTCGGAGTATTTCGCGTCAATCGTGGCCCCTTCCGCGGTGGTCATGGTGGCCCCTTTCTTAAGGGTCACCACTATGGCCGCGGTTTTTGGGGCCACGATTTTAACGGCCTTTGGTGGGGCCGGGGCGATCTGCCGGGTTGTTCCGGCTGAGGGGGGGGAATTAGCAGCGGCAGCGGCATTGCCCCTCTTCTTCCGGCGGACAACCTCGGACCAGGAGTTGCCCGCCGTCCCTGTCTGGGCTTCCCCCTCTCCGCTTGTTCCAGCGGTTGGGGGGGGAGGGGTCGCTTCTGCCTGTCCTGCCCCCTGTTTCCCCTTGGAGGGAGGAGGAGGCGGGGGGGCAGTCGGCCGCTTTGCGGCGCCCTTTTTCGGCGCCTTCTTTGCCGCCCTAGGAGTGGGCGCTTGGGGTGGCTGGGCTTCCCCGTCCACCTCCATGGCGCCCTCCACGAGTCCCGACCGGGACTTGTGACGGGGCGGTGGCGGCTGCCGTTGGTCGGCACGAAGAGGAGGCCTCATGACGGGCTCCGGAGGAAGGCGCATCTCCAGGTCTTGTAGGCGGGCATTGATCATCCCGCCTACCGACTGCAGGAGTTGCCCCTTCATCTCCTCCATGGCGCATCTGAGCACCTCCTCGATGTTGGGCTGCTGGGGCCCTGTGTCCTCTCTCGGTGCTGCAGCGGACTTCCGCTGCGACTCCACATACGCCTGTTTAAAAGCGCGCAGCTCGTTGCGGACAAGATCTAGCTCTCTTGCTAGACGAGCATTGTCCGCGCGGAGCCTGCGCTGCTCTTCATCAGGCGTAATATCCCGTAGGCCCTCAACTGCCTCGACTACGCTTTTAGTAGCCCGGTTGATTTGCCCCCATACGGTGCCCTTTAGGTGGCCGCTCTTCTTAATTTCCTCCTTTATCCTCTCTACACTTTTGAGGGCCTCCTCGGCAAGGGCCTCGACCGTGCCCCTGGATAGGGCGCCGGGGGTCTCGTCATCGGTGGCTTTGGAGGCCACTATGGGGCTCACTATCTTCCCGCGTGGACGGTAGCTTGGGTCGGC